CAAACTAAAATTAGGGGATACAGTGAAGTGGGTTAAAGTTACGAAATATATCAGTACGTGTTGTAATGTTACTGATAATTGTACCAAATTTATTTATAATTTGATGATTTCAGAATGGTGTGTTATATAATTGTGTGTATGTTATTTTTGTGTTCATTTATATAGGTATATGTTAATTTTTTTGTTTAGAAATATAATTAATAATGCAAAATTTTTTATCAAAATTCTTTTCATTTAAGTTCCCAATTTCCAACAATAGTTTTTTTATTAAATCTACAAAATTACAAACTACTTATTCAACAAGTTAACAGATTACAGTTGGTTGTAAACTTAACATAAAGTTATTTGGACCTGGATTAACATAAAATCTGGTTAATATTTGGTTGAAATTAACAAATATGTTTTTACTGTGTAATTTAATATAATTCAATTTTTCTAAATAAAATAAATCCAGTCAAATATTTTTAAATGCATAATTTAAGTGGAGGTAGAAAGATGTTTAAAGTTTCAACGACAGTTCTTGAAGTTTCCTTTCAGCATTGGTATCGTTTACTACCGAAAACCTGACGACACAAAATCTAATAAAAGTTTTCGTGACATGAAAACCTATACCTTATATTATAAAGTTTACAATATAAATTTTATAAAATAAGGAAAACGCAATTCTTATATTTTTTTTAAAAATTGTCAATTTACTGAATGTAATTCAATAAGTCTTCTATAGATACGTATTACTTATTGGCCTATATCCCGGCGCATTCGCCATATTTAACAATAATTGTAATTTATTATGTTCTTTACTGTTTTATTATTTATTTATTGTTCTTCCATGTGGTTGATATTTTTAAATTAATATTGTGTTAGACTGCCTCATTAAAATTATTAAGTTATATCTAGCTTATGTTTCCAGCTAAAGACATTGATAACTATTTTAAGTTTATTTGGCATTCCTATACCTATATCCTATATATAACATAGTTTTATCTACTTTAATTTAAAATTTTGAAGACGGCTTAATGTAGTATAAAAACTCGAAAAGATGGCCAAAACATCAAGATTAAAAGTTTCTAAGACTTTAACAGAAAAAAATAGTATCTAGAATCCTTATACAAGAGAACAAATTCTATTTTGTTTAATTACAGCAGGGAAGTGCAATTTTAATCATTAAATCTTATTTTAGTGAAAAATTATCATATTTTTAAAGATATTTCAAAAGTGACTGGATTCATTGAAAAAATGTATATAACATAACTTTAAAGAAAAAAGATATATCTAACCTAAAAATTGAAATAACGAGGTGTATTACATACAACATGTTATTTTATTAATAATTATGCTTGATTGTTTTAGTTATTTATTTTTCTCCAATCACCCGACTGTAGAAAAAACGTAATTACATGAAATTTTACTGATAAACAATTGAAAATCATCATTTATACAAAGTTTGGTACGAAAATCCTAAAAATTTCATAAATTGTCAATGTAAACGCTTTATATCTCAAGAAATATCAATCTTAGCGATTCAACTGATAGGACCTTTTTTAAAAAAAATTAAATTTTCTACAAGTTTGTTCTTTACATTTTTTTCAAAGAATCCAGTCACTTTTGAAATATCTTCAAAAATATGATAATTTTTCACTAAAATAAGATTTAGTGACCCGTACCATCCTACATGTGCAGATTACAGCTATGGCACATAAAGCATTTTTGTAGAACTTTTGATTACGAGTAAATCCTTTTTTGAAACAATCCAATAGCATAAAATGCGGCTGAGATATAGATATTAAAAAAAAATAATCAAAGTTTACGTGTATTTTAAATGGGAAATCTTTATACGCTTTGGTCGAGTACTTTGAGTTAATATTAAGGGCTCAAATTTTCAGGGAATTTTTTTTTGAACATTTTCAACAAGATTTTGAGTTGGGAGCGAAAAAATAAAAATTGTCGTGAAAAAAAAAATCACCCTAGTATATATATATATATATATATATAAATATATACACAATGTATATTATCCATATATCTAAATATTTTATCAAAATAAAGCTAAAGGTGCGCTTTTAAGAAATCTGCAACTTAAATTAATAAAATCGTTTAAAAAAAATGTATTGTTGTTTGTGATTTTTCGACGAAATTGTAAAGAACGCCTGTTGGAATGTTTGGAAAAGATTCTTCAAAATCGAGAAACAAATTCTATAAAAAAAAATGTCCATGCTCGAAAAGACTTTATAATAATATGTATATTCATTGTCGACAGCTGTGTTCATCTCCTTAAAGATCCAACAGAAACAGCATTTACACTTTAAAAATCGAGTTCTTTTGTGAAAATAGATAAAATTGGTTTAGAAATATAAATATTAGGTGTAATGAAATTGAAATCAGGAAAAACCTGATTGAAATGGGCTGGTTTCATAATAAGTAATACTATAAGTAAATAAGTATGGACATATGTATCTTTTATCAAATTTATCTGTAATTAATTCAGATGTATAACTATGGGTATTAAAAAAGCAGACAAATTCTATATCAATTTAGTTATCAGATATATGAAATCCATAACTCAAAGTTATTTTTGTGTAGTGTAATTACATGAAAACTACAATGACACCTTATTATTTTGACCAGTTTTTTAGATATTCCGACCACTGTGCAGATGTCTGAATCAAGTTAAAATAAATAAATTTATATCTAGCTTAATTTGACATTCTTTAGACCCTTGAATTAATACTCTTAACAAAAAAAATATGATTTTATTTTTTAAAGACAGATATTTTTAGCTTAATTTTACATTCTTAAGTCGACATCCCTAAAACAGTTATTAATCCAGTGAACCTAGTGAATATTGCAATTGCAAATCGTGACACGTATAAACTTTTATTTTTACATTTAGATAACAGTTTTCTAATCTATAATTTTAAATAATGTGTCAAATGTGACATTTTATTTTATAAATTGCTTTTCTACAAGCCTGTAAAACTTTACAGGTCTTTTATATAAGCCCGTAAAATATTACAGGTCTGTTCATATAATGTATCGTTTACTTGGATACAAAAACAACAAAATTAACCTATAAAGTGTCATTTACTAAGAAGGTAGATAGTTATTTACGTGTCAAGCTTTGTAAATGAATCTTTACGGGCGAGCTGGGAGTTTGTGGGGTAAGCGATGCAGGAGCGAACCCCATAATTCAGTGAGCCTAGTAAAGATTAATTGCAAAGCATGACACGTACAAACTTTTATTTTCACCTTAAGATAAAGATTTACAGATTTAAAATTTCAATTAATGTGTCAAATGTGTCATTTCATTTCATAAATTGCTTTTCTACAGGTCTGTAAAACTTTACAGGTCTTTTATACAAGCCCGTAAAATATTACAGGTCTGTTCCCATAATGTATCGTTTACTTGGATACAAAAACAACAAAATTAACCTATAAAATGTCATTTACTAAGAAGGTGGAAATAAAAAGTTATATGGGTAGGTTTACAAAGTAGAGAATTTTTGGCGGCTCAGCTTATATTACGAAAAATAATTTAAAACAAACCGGATAAATTTATATTCCAAACTGTTGATCTCATATTATGTTTTTAGTTTGGCGCTTCAATTTTTTTGGATTTAAAATTATTTTCTTGTTAAAACTATATTTAATGCTACCCATATTTAGTTGGATAACATGCTTAAGACAGGAATTCCTAGTAATATTTATTTATTTATATCTAGGTTGATAATGCCCACCCAAATGATAAGGGGAAGTAGGGGGTTACTTGATATAAAATGTTCTTTATTATTTTCACCACAACTTATAACCGTTCCTGCACCACTAGTAAAGACATATCCTGGAAACAAACTTATATCGTTCTATATCACTTTTAGAAATCCGAAAGCATCGTTAACTACAGTTAATAATATATTGGCGTAAAATAGTATGCCAATATAGGACCAACCTTGGATAAACATTGGCAATGATATATTAAATTATCATTTTATGCCAATATAGAGCTAACATCGGCTAAATAAATCCAATATTGGCCCCAGATAAAATATTGGGCATAGACGCGCCCATTATAGGACCAATATTTTATGCTACTGGGGTCCTATACTACATATGTAGATATCGCTATAAAAATATATAAAGGAGTATCTACCTTGTTAAGGGAAACTTATAATACAATATTGTACATTAAATTTTGAGAAACGCCTTTTACTCATAATAATTATGGGCAAAAGGCCTTTAAAGCACAACCTTACATTTATAAAAACAAAAATTTAAATTTAATTTAAATACTATGATTATTTGGATATTATAGTATTGCCTATAATTGCATATTTTCATACTAAAATTAAACTAAAATCAAATAACAATAATTGTTGAATGGTAAATTTATTTATTAACAAATTATTAACAATAATTGTTCAATGGTAAATTTATTTATTTATTATAAGAGTACAAAATAAGGCTGTGAAAACTATATATGGATTAAGCAAATATACCGCTACAGAGGAGGTCTATAAGCAAACAAAAATACTACAAATTAGGCAACTAATACAATTGGAACAAGCTAAACTAATTCACAACATCAAAAACAAGAGCATCAAAACAAACATCAATCTGGTACATAGAAAACATGTGCATGAATATAATACAAGACAAAATAATGATTATAGAAACGAAAAAAGACGAACAAAAAAAACACAAGACTCTCCAGTATTTAGAAGTATCCAAACATACAATATGCTACCTGAAGACGTCACAAAAAACAAAAAAAACTGTGATAATGTGCAAAAAACTAAAAAACTATTTATTTAATTGTGATATTATTCCTTAATACTATTTAATTTTTATTTTGCTTTACATTAATTATATCTATTTATAGACAAACATATTTTTATACTAACAAAACTTACATAACATATTACATTGTAAAACTTTTGTAGGCCCTGTTATCAGTATGGCTATACTGTTTTGGGGTCAGAAATAAATAAATAAAATATTTGTTTTAGTTGTTGGTTGTATGTGGGGGTGAGTGTTGGCGTGATGGGGCGGGGGCAAAGCTCGCCCATGGAGCTCGGCTAGAGGCGTGCGCCCCTGCCCGGCTGTCCGGCCCCCCCTCTGCCGCCCACACCCAGGCCTACGCATGGAGTCGGACCACCGGGAACACCGTTGCCATAGGCCTAGAGCCTTTGACAAGGTAAGAAGACGAAAACCGAAAACTTTTTTCTAGTAGTACCATTTTGTACATTGTGTCCCATTTGCGTAGTGCACTGTTCAAAATTTCATGACCATTTTAACACCAAATTAACACCATACATGGTCTATATCGATATAAACCAAAATGGTGTTAAATATGGTTCGTTGGTCCAGTGTAAATTCAAATGCTAAAATAGTGTAAATTGAACTTCTTTTCAGTGTTAAATATTATGTGTTCTTGGTCAAATTAAATCATACTAGGTGTAAAGTGCACTTCTCAGTAGTTCGAAAAGATGCTGTACATAACATTTTCGACCATAATTCATGGTGTTTATATTAATACCACTTGGTGTTGGATTTAGACACCATTTTTTAGATTACCCTTTAAACCACAGATATTTTAAACAGTGTGGGTGAAAATTGTGGTTTTTACGAACCGTTGTAGTAAACAAAATAAAGAAAAAAATAAATTTAAATGTCATTAGGGAAAGAAGTCTTTTTGTGCTTAGCTTAAAGTTTTAATTGAGCGAAGCACAAAAAGACGTTTTGGGCCGAATAGCATACAACGTTTTATCTTAAAATTTTTAATGTTTTTTAGAATTTTAAGCCAATTTTATTTGTTAAACAAAACATGAAACATACATTTATTAAAAGTAGAAAGTGAGGTTGGAACAGTGGCAGATTGTGGATTTTAAATTTACCGATATCTCAGTTAGTAGACATGGGATAACAAACTTTATGAGTTTGTATTGACATTAAATAGACAAGTTCTGCGCAAGCAGAATTTAAATTGAAGTTTGCGAAAAAAAGTTTGTTTTTCAGCGCGCCTCACCAGCTCCCTGCCACCCCTAATTAAGATTATTCAAATTAAATGGTGCAATTCATAATTCACTAAAGTTTATCGACAAATTTCAAAATTTATTTAAAAATCCAAGAAAAGATTTTATACCATTTTTATTTTTTTTAAATTTTAGTTAAAAGAATAATAAAAATTTAATATGGTATGAAATCTGTGATTCTTAGATTTTTTAGATACATTTTGAAGTTTTCCGATAAAATGTAGTGAATTATAAATTGCATCACTTTAATTTGAATAATCCTAATTATGGGTGGTAGGGGGGTGTCACTACCAAAGTATTCGATTATTATTATAATAATAATAATAATAAATATATTTATTGCCCAACAGTTTTTACAATACAGGACATTCAAATTAAAATATTAAATTAATTTAGACTAATCAGGTGAAGTTTTTTAAATCCTAGTCTGTAAAAGGAACAATTAAAAAATTGCTGATACATCTGAAGATATCTATTCTCATTTTATACTTTTAATTATTTCCATTATAATTGTATGGACGTTTTATGTATCGGTTAATAAATAAAACTGTACTTTAAAGATAAAATGTATTATGCCATTCATAATATACTTTTTTTTAATAGTTCTTTTTAAGAAACAAATCATCCAAATGTCTTGTTTCCAAGATTGCCAGTCAGAAAAAACCCAAGGATTTGCGCACGTTTCTACTCGTTGAAAATCGAGCTTTGTCCATTGTCCACCGTTTTAACTAAACAATACGCTAAATTATTTTCCTGTAATAAAACTAAATTTAGTTTCTCTGAAAAGTAATAGTTTTGCCAGCATACAACAGCGGGTACAGAGCACTTACAGCGCTATACTAGCGACGCATCTACAAGTAATCATGCTGAGTGCTTTAAGTACACAAATAAAGTGCACTTTTATAGGAAATAAAAAATCGGTGGGTGGTTTGATTTCGCTAGGGAATATAAATTTTTCTCTAGAAAAACACCAATTTTTTTAGTATATTTATTAATAATCTAGAAATACCCACAATAAAAGTAATATGTGAGCGCGTAAAAACCCCCTCCTAAAAACTGCACAATCTTTCAATGTTCAATAGGTACTACTTTTTGACGTAAAGAAATTGAATTTTTTTTAAAAGGTCACATTTTTTCAATAAAAAGTGGGGTCATGTGACACATTATTAAAAAATTATGTATCATAACCAACTAAAAACAAAAAAAAATGTCAAAAGACCTTTAAATAATGTAAATCAACTGACATATTATTTGAAAGGAGTTTTAAAGCTAATAATTAATTAATATAATTATTATACAGGCATTTTAATTAAAAACTAGCCACCTTTAATAACTTTGGGGTTAAAGTAAATATAATCTTGTGGAAGTGATATCTAGGGGGACGTTCAAATCCAGTGTAAAACAAATTTTATGTTGCACCCTCTCACCTTGACCTTCCGACACATCATTTTAAAGGAAATGTAATTTATAATCCATTTGAGTAAAACAATTAAAATCCGATCAAGAATTTGCGATTTAGAGCCACAAACAAACAAAAATTCCATATAAAAAAACTGTTTTATTTGCTTCAATTGCTTTCAATTTACCTTTAGAAAAGTTGTTAAACGTTTTAGTTAAAATATTTGTATTGAAACGACCTAAATATAAGAAAAATGGTGTATAACCAAAATTAATAAATAACCGCACGCCTTTTTAATGAGAGGCATTCAGGCAAAAAAGTAGGTAGTATTAATAGGTTAGTAAACTGGTAAAAAACTTTAGGAAAACTGGTTCAATGTCCAACAGAAAACACACAAGATCCAGTGTACTGGATGAAGCTGCACAAATTGAAGTTTCGGTCATTTTGCTGTGTGATCCATATCCATTCCAAAAGTAGCTGCTTTAACAAATGTTTCTGTTGGTGTAGTTCATAAGGTGGAGTAAAGTAAATAAGCTTTTTCCTTATAAAATTTAAATGTGCCATCAACTCAGAAAAATTCAGTTTTGTGAGGAAATGACGCAAGGCGTTTGCTCCCAATTTATTAAAAAATATTTGTTTCAGTGATGAATCTACTTTTTTTAAAATGGGTTTGTTAATAAACACAATTGTATACAATACCTATAGGTACTAGGTCAATGAAAATACGCATGTTATTGAGAGGGGCATACTCAGTTTCCTCAACAAAAAAAAACAATGTATTGGCTGGTATTCTTGGCAACTGAATAATTAGAACGCTCTTTAACGAAGAACTAACAACTAACAATAATTGTTAGGTCAAGTTTTCTTCGTAATATAATTATATCTTAATCTTCTTAAAAATGTAATAGACCCACTTATTAGTAATAAGTTATTACCCATTAGTAATGGGCCAATACTTCGTAATATTATTATATCTTCTTAAAAATGTTATAGACCCATTTATTAGAAAATCAGATATATCTGATAGACGAACAAGGAAACATGTTGCTTGATGAAGGACATTTGTTTCAAGGAAATTATTTGTAGGTACATGATTTCAATTAACTTTTCCATATCAATTTAAATTTATTTAATAAAAATGAGTTTGACATTTCTATTGCTTTGCTGAATATTGATGACTAAAGTAATCGTAGTCATTACAAGACAGTTGTAGATAAAGTAGGTTTATATTACTATATGGATGATTCTACAAAAGTTGGGCAACTTTTGACCTCATTTTGTTTATATAGTTTTCGGAGAAAATTAAACAGTTTTTTTGTTATGAGAACATAGATAATATAATAAATATACTGTTCCAGACCGGGCCAGTCACTTATTCAAACAGTTTCTTAAATATCTGTGTTTTCTAAATTTGAATGCAAGGGAAGTGAGGAGTAAACCAGGGTACTAATTAAATACATAATTTATTGGAAAATTTAAGATTTATTGCAACTTTGAGCAAATTATACATTAAATATCTTAAAATCAAATAATACCACACATCAGTGGCGGTTGGTGGATTTTGGGTATACCGATATATCAATTATTAGACATGGGACCCACACCAAATTTATATAAGTTTATAATGACATTATTATTATTCTATTCTGCGCAAGCAGAATTTAAATTGAAGTTTGCCTGAAAAAGATAACAGAAACATCGAACATGGAACTGACGACACGGTACTGATGAATGGAATACAAATTTGAGATTATAATTCTGAATTAAGTATTTTACTGATATTTTTTAATAGTGGATGCTACTTATCAAGAAATCACATATAGCCTTATATAAATTACAATGAAATATATACAAATGAAATGTATACGTAAGAAAATAACTACTCACTACAGTACTGAAATTTTGACTGGAACTATACGTGCATTCACCTCAACTTCGCCGCTTGCATTGCTTTCAAGATGACTTTTGTGCAAAGGGCGAGCTCTGTAGGTAATTTTTTACCAACACTTGGGTTAAAACGAGGTCTTGACGTTTAAACTTGAATTTTAAAACAGAACTGACGGGTAAAAGTGAGTACAAAGATTATCAATTTTTTAAAAATTGATATTATTCGAATCTATAATAAAATATGAAAAATACAAATTGAATATATTTTAAAATAAAATCACTCAAAAATTTGATTCAGAAGTTGTGACACGCCAAGGTACTGATGTTTTGAATATTTATTATGTTTTTCTACAAACGTGCTTTTGAAAAAATACATTAAAATTGGGTGGACAAGTTAAAAAACCCTGGATCTTTTGTAATATACTAAAATATTTACAAAAAATATTAAAATACCTACTCTATTGACTGATGACATCAAGTTGTCCAACTTTTGTAGAATCACCCATATATAGTAATATAAAACTACTTTATCCACAACTGTCTTGTAATGACTATGATTTAACACTACTTAAAATGTCATAATAACTTTTATTATCGCATTAGTGCTTTTTGAATGTATTACCTCACTAGTGTGTTAATATCTTAAATTAAGCTTAAGGTATAAGATTATATTAAAACTCATTTATTGTAAACATTAACAGTAAAATCTTTACAATTAGATAAATTAACTCCAGATGCTGACATGCCTAACAATTTACTGGAAATATTTTGCTTAATTCGTTGAAATATACTGATAATCCTTTCTCGCTTGTCAAGTTGATTATTTTTTTTCATTGCACCATTTTTCGTACCGATCAAAAGCTTCTTGGTATTTCT